GGGGGGGGGGAGGGAGGAACTATAAACTTTTCAGAAATACAGCTCTACCTGGTTCTACTTGGTAGGGAATAAAAGATACCAAAGTAGGAAGCTTAATGCTCAGTGAGGGGGAACATGTGAATGTATTAAAATTAATAGGCAATCCAGAAATCTTCTGGAATTCTCTTGGACTTTATTAAAAGCACTTCCTTCTCCCAGAAGACGTGATGCTAGCTATGCAGAAATGCTCTGGCAACAACGCGAGAAATTTCTGCTCCCTATTTGAAAAATCTCCCTTGATCTTTGTTCTGCCTTATGCTATTTTAGGGCTGTAAATTAGGATAGTTGGTGCCAGAGATTTGTTTTGTAGTCTATGGGTGCATAGCAGAATGTGGATGGGTTCAGCAGAAGGTGGAACAAGAGAAAGATGTTACTTTAGGTGCTAAAAAAATTACCTTGAAAATCCCTCTTTCTCTCCTTTTGCTATATGAGGACTTGATACCTAATGTATACAAATCTGAATGCTGAAGAGGCTATGCTTCTTTAAATTATTTCCTGAAATCTCAGTTGATTCTTAAAAAAATAACAATTTTACTTCTTTGTGCAGTGCAAAGAGAAGAGAATTAACTTTATTTTTATCATGCCAGTTGGGGGTTTTCACCAGTGGTATTCTTGTAGTGTCCAAATACCTTCTGCATCTCATCTTCATTTATTTGGACTAAGATAATCAAGAGAATTTTGGCCCCTTTAATCTCTAAATTTCATTTGGAATTATATGTTTAAAAACTAGTTTATTGCAGAGTTTTATCAACTTTGAGACTGCTTGACATCTCTTCTGTCTTTGTTACATAAAGCTGAATGAATATACCTACTTTTTAATGGACTTTGATTTAATTAAAGACTTTTTTAGTTCATGGTATTATCTCTAGAGTGTAATGTATTGAAGTTGCTGGCAAACCTGCAATATAGATAATTTTTCTTTTCTCAGAGTGTTTTCTCCTTTTAAGTAGCTGCATCAGTTTCTGTTTGCCTATAGATCTGGCAGCTATCCAGTAGGGAGTCATAGAAATTACTGTTGCAAAAAGTAAATACGTTAATCTACTTTGCTGGAGAGTGATGAAAGTGGAAGATGATTTTTCACATTCAGTTTTCTGGAGCTTTGTCTTTCTATTTCAAAATGTTCTAAGAAAATTAATTTTCTTTCTTTAAATATCTGGGATCCTAATCCCTTAATATGTCACAGTTTAGCTATGTTGGGTAACCATGAGACATTCCTCTTTGGCAAAGAAAAGGTTTTGTCTCCACTTTACAGGTGCAAATACTTACGTTTTCACTTCTGGAGAAGGGGCTAATGTATTTTCTTAGCCTCCAAGAATGTAGTCTATTGCTGAGCTGGAGACTGATGGTTGTGTTCTTTGTCCTTTCCCAATAAATATCGATAACATAACATAAAAACTTTGAGTATTGAAGCAAATGACTTTCTATAAGTGGGACATTTCTTTAGCTTTGAAGTAGCTTTTCAGCAAAGCACATGACTCCAAAGCACACCAAAGAGGCTGCAGTTGTCTCTGTATAGTGGATTTTGAATGGTGCTCTGACATCTCCTTTGCAATAGAACCATGCTGTCAGATGTAAGTAAGGAGAAATGCAATTATGAGCTCGTGGGGTACTAAATGTGCAGCAACAGCAATCTCTGCAGTCATACCCTTAATAAACGTGTATTATGCTTGTTATTCATGTAATTCTGTAACGACTTAGTTGTTGTTAAGGCTAATCCTATTCCTCAACATGTTTATCCAGGGGTCTTTCTTTCTCAAGCTGAAATTCTGGTGAATAAGGATTTTGGAGCTGATTTAATTGATAATACACTGTATTGCTTACTGCAGTCTCAATCCCATCAGAAGGAATTCTCAGAAAATGTACTTTTAGGAATGAAATCTTAATTGTTTGTCCAGAAATTACCTCAGATTTTAAATTAATATTCCAATACTTGAAATCACACCTAAGTATTAGGTATTCTAAGTATTAAGTATTCTAAGGCTTTCTCTTGAGATGAAGTGCTTCTCTTGCTCATTAGTTCTGTTGTTTTTGCTGGTTATTTGTGGTTTTACCCACTATTTCTAGAAGAGATTTTCAAGTCTGAGGATTAAATATCATTCTTTTCAAATGTGTAATATAAACCTTTCATTGATTGTACTTCTCACTTATTTGTTCTCTTCCAAACATTGTTCATTTGTTTCAGCGGCTTTCCTCCATGCTGGGTGTATTTTTGAATTTGTACAGAACTGGACTCCATCTTCTCCAGGTTGGGTTGGCCTTGTCCAAATCTCCCATCCGGCCGCTAACTCGCTCCCCAGCCCAGCAAACAGAGGGGAGAAAGTGAGAAGAACAGGAAGAAGAAAGCTTGTGGTGAAGGCAAAGACAGAGATGCAATATCTATCTTTGTAGCCAGGCAGCGTTTTGTCCTTTCTTCCCCAGGTGCTCAGCAAGGCGCTCTCCCATGGCTGCTGGTCCCAGTCATGGCCTGCAGTGGGGCAGCCCCGGCCTCTCCTCACACAACAGCCCCACAGCACCCAGGGATGATGCCTGGCATCCTCACACTGAACACAGCATGGCACAGTGCTGTAAGCAACATTTCAGGTGAAATCCTATTGCTCCATACATTGGCGTTTTGCTTCAGTTCCACAGAAGGCTTAAATTATTTGCTTCTTTCACAACCACAGCTTTGGAGTGGCTCAAACATTTCTTTTTTTCCTGCGTTGAACTAATCGGTCTGAAACGTTCCTCTCTCAGGCTCTTTCCTGCTGAAAAGCTTTCTCTGTAGAGCTTCAGATAGTGTTATTATCCTGAATTAAT